ACTTGTATCAGGGTTTTTTTAAATGTTTTGATTTGAATAGGTTAGAAAATGTGCTATGAAGTACACCTGGCCTTGCATACAACTGTAGATCACAGGACACAAAAATATGGATTTACATGCATGTTTTGAAAATAACACAGACAAATGATTCTCTTCCTGATGGACAGTTATGGCTAACTTAGTAAAATGCCTGGGGACTGTATCTCCACCTGTAGGAGAGGTTCAGAGTTTTGTATTTGGACTTTCCTATCCCGTATCATGGAAAATAATATATGCCTGACCTCTCCTGAGAAGATTTATCTATCTTAGGGTTTGTACTGCTACGAGCCCCTCCAAGGAAAATTAAACTGTCGTAATAAGGTTCCCAGTAGACTTGATGGAGTCATTAGTTCTCCTGCCTTCTCAAGAGAGCAGAAAGAAGACCAATAATTGTTTGTTTTCATAAACAAAGGCTGTAGTCCTTGGTGGTTGCTCATCAAAAATATTTATAATTGGTCTAACTGTAAGTATTTTAATGTTTTTTATATATAATATATGTATTTTAAAAAAAACCTGCAATTCTGTAGGGAAAAGGTATGATCAAATGTTGCATTATGATGGGAAATGTAGAAATGAAGTTTCAATTTCAAAATTCTAATGCTTGGCATCTTGACCTAAATATAATTCCCTTGGATGACTCTATTATCTGTGAGTTATCAATGAAATGTAGTTAATGGAAGAAAATTAAAATATGGGTTGTTCAAGGTATATGATTTCCTTCTTTGAAAAGTGGCATCTGTTTAAAATCGGGATCTTTCGATATGCACATTCCAAGAGATTTAAGATAAACTATATTACAAAATTAAAAAGTCCCATTTACATTTTACCAAACTATAGGTTAATGTTCACAATTTGCTGTAATGTGCCAACAGATACCGTTTCTTATGTAGTTTACCTCATCCATGTTCTCATACATGTCTACATGTGAGGTTTTTTTAAGAGAAAAATCTCATAGGGTTCAGAGTTTGTCACAAGCAAAATACATAATTCAAAACAAATGTAAGACATTCATAATAGAATTATTCATCACAATGGAGAAAAATTGCTATCTTCAAGGTTTGCATTACCAACAAAAGTTGTAAATTAAACTCTTAAATTAAACTTTTTAAAATCTGCATCTGAAGTGGTTTGATTTGTACATGAAACACTATGAACCAAATACATCCATTAACTTAAATAGTTACATCAAAGATGAATTTGGCCCAATGAGTTGAATTTTGTACATTGCTTTAACAACCAATATGAAGATTTGCCATATACATTTTTCATGGATCATATTTTGCTTTGTCTTCTAATTAGTGTAAAGATATTATTAAATAAACATATACTTTTAAATGACATTTAAAAATGTGTCTATTCCAAATATGCAGAATATAATTTATAAAAATGGACTTTCTACATTTTAAAAAAAAGGTTAACACTTCCCTTAATACAAACATTTTTTGATATTAGTATGAAGGGCAGGTTACTTTTTAAAATACCCTGGAGAAATTCTACTGAAGTATCATGAATCATTCCCATGGTAATATCAAAGTATCCAGTTTCCTTAACCGAACAACTGTTTCATAGGAGATGGTATGTAGTGATTCTCTCTTGTAGGAAAGATGTTCCCAAAATATTCATCTATCAAAGTGGGGAACGAGAAGCATTCTATCCAGCTATTATGGCAGTGCAATTATCTAACCAGTACTGAGAGAGATGCATTGTGCATTAGTGCTGATAATAGGAATTCTAAGGCATCTAATTGTGTCAGCCTTTAAACTGAGATGCTGTCTCAAACAAGTTAGGAAATTTAACTGTATCTTATATACATGCTGTAATTTAACTACAGTGGAGTCGCATCTTACGCGGGGGGTTAGGTTCTAAGTCAGCGTGTAAGGCAAAAATCGCGTATAGTCAAAATTACCCTTGAAAATCCCTTAAATCACCCATAAAGTACAATATACTATACATGGTTTTGTGTATACAACCCTGTATAGTAATATGTATAATGTATACAGTAATGTACAGTATGAGTACTTATGCAAAATATAATTTTACAGTACTGTATTTTTAATTACAGGGGGTAATTACAGGGGGTTGTCAGGGCTTGATGTCGATCCAGGAGATGGAGGTGACGGAGAGCTTGGGTGACGGAGAGCGAGTCGTAGACAAAGTGGTTGGCTCTGGTTCAGCTTGAGAAGTTGATTGCATAGGTTGTTTTTCCTTGAAACATATGGTGATCGGCAACTGTCGCTGTTGTCTCTTGAGCTGCTCGAACATTTTTTGATACGGTCTCAAATCGTCCATAATACTACGTGTGATTTTGAGGCTTCATTCCATAGAAGGATCATATTCAGAAAATAAATAATTCAAGTGTTTTGCTGCTTGGAACACTTCAGCAAATTTATGAAGATTCCAACTTGCTGGCTCTTCCTGTTCGTCATCGTCCTCTTCATCTTCTGTAGACGATTTTATCAGTTCCTCTAACTCTTCGTTAGTTAATGTTTCTCTATGGCTCACAATTAATTCTTAAGTTTCTTCCTCAAGGATGTTGACGAAACCATCACCACCCACTTGCCTGACCACCTTTACGATGCGTTTCTTCTTTGTCAATGGTCGGGAAACCCTTAAAATCATTCACACGTTCTTTCCATAGGTTTCGCCAACATGCATTGACTGTTTCAGGCTTGTTTGCGTCCATTGCCTGTTTAATATAAGTGATGCAGTCGGCAATGTTGAAGGACTTCCAACACTCCATCACATTAAGATTGGGATCAGCATCCATAGCGCTACGTATCCGTGAGAACGTAAGCCTCGTGTACGTGGCCTTAAAACAGCAAATCACGCCTTGGTCGAGAGGTTGGAGGATGGAGGTGGCATTGGGAGGGGGGGGAGAAAGACTACTTCAACATCGTTATGTGCAAACCAGAGTGCCGCTGGGTGGCCAGGAACATTGTCTACGATCAGCAACACTTTAAAGTCAAGTCTTTTCTCTTCGAGGTACCGCTTGACCTCCAGAATGAAACACTTGTGGAACCAATCCAGAAATAATGTTGTCGTCATCCAAGCCTTTTTATTTGATTGCCAGAACACAGGCAGGAGATTTTTGTTCTTGCCTTTTAGGGCATGGGGATTTGCAGCCCTGTAGAGCAAGCCCAGCTTTATTAAATGCCCAGCTGCATTGCCACAAAACAACACAGTCACACGGTCTGTAGCTGCTTTGAAGCCAGGGGCTTGTCTTTCTGATTTCGAAATGTAAGTGCAGTTGGGCATTTTTTTCCAGAAGAGCCCAGTCTCATCCGCATTAAAAACTTGTTCCAGAAGATAGGCCTTTTCTTCTATGATTTTCTTTAATTGTACGGGGCTAGGCTTTTGCTGCCTTTTCATTGGCAGATGCAGCTTCACCAGTAGTCTGCACATCTTTGAGGCTGAAGCGGTTCCTAAAATTGTTAAGCCAGCCTTGGCTGGCTTTGAATTCCTTCTCATCAGAAGGCTGTCCCTCTTCAGCAGGAGGTTTGAACAGTGCGTAGAGGCTAAGAGCCTTTTCTCGCAACGTGTTGCCATCGATAGGCACACGTTTACGATCCATGTCTTCCAGCCATATGTTTAATGCCCTTTCAGTCTTCACTAAAGTCTTATCACACACCTGGCTTGTCACCTTAGCAGTTATTGGAGTACTTGATGCCACGGCTTGACGAATTTCTCTCTCTCGAATCTTCATGGCACGGATGCTAGATTCGTTGTGGCTATATTTACGCGCCACGTTGGAGACCGACATACCGTCACTCAATAAGTCCAACACAACCAGTTTTTCCTTCAGCATTGGAACAGATCGCTATTTCTTCGGTTGAGCACCAGATGAAGTAGTTGGCTTGTGTTTAGGGGCCATGTTGTATGAAAAATACATTTCTTTGAACACTAGAATCACACTCAGCACGGCGAGATGCTCACACTGTGAGAGGCACGTGGGAACTGAGACCAGCAGATTCACGTCTCCATCTCACGCTCACTCCGGGGCATATGCTCATTGAGTGGAATGGTGGGTGGAATCGCCCGCACTATTCACAGGTATCTTGTTGTTTTTCTTTTTTTTCTGAGTGCATATAGTTGAATTCGCGTAAGTTAAATGTGCGTATGATGCGGCTCACCTGTATTACAGCTTTATTTTCACAATACAGAACCCTTCAAAGAATAAACCCTGCTATAGAATATGTTTCAAACAAGATCCACTTAACTCAAATTTCTTTAGTTGCACCTACTTTCTTAAATTTTGGGGAGGGGGTCAACACAGTTAATCGTATTGTTTTAGTCAATGATCTTTAACACAGATTGCAATAGACAGTGCAGTCGTGGAGTTTGAATTACAGTTTATTATTTGAATTACAGCTCATTATCACCAGTCTCTTCATCTAATATAAAAACAATTAACCCCAATTAATGTACTTTTTGTGGAGTGGAGACTCTACATTTAGTATCAAAGAGGTGAATAAAGAGAACACTGTAGGGCAGTAGTTCTCAAACTTTTTTTTTCACGGACCACTTGAAAATTTGGATAAAAGCGCTCTATTAAAAAAAAAAAAACCTTAATAAACTTTTTTTGTTCTACAAATAAAAGCACACAATTCATATTTTAATATCCGTAGTCTTACCTTTCTAATGTGATGAATGTGCCCTCTTTCCCCCACCTCAGCAGCCCCCAAGCTGGAGCTGGAAAGGAGAGGGGTCTCTTCCTCTCTCCCCTGCCATGGGAGCCCCTGAGCTGGGGCTGGGAAGGAGGGAGGTCTCTCCCCGGCAGCCACAGCTCTGGAGCTGGGGAAAGTTGCCTCTTTCTCTGGCTGCCGCAGCCCTACATGTCCCAAATTCCCCCCACCCCCTCTTCTCACCCCACTACCCCCTCCCACCTACCTCCTAGTCCCCAAAGGCCACCACCTCACCTTACATGTGTGTCTTCTCAGGGGCCAGGCACCTAATTAGTGGAGCCACGCCTGCGCAGCTCCACTAATTAGGCGGGTGGCCCTTCATTCTCTTGTGTGCGGCCGCCCAGGCGCACACCTTTGAGGGAACTATTCGTGGACCACCTGAATGGAGCTCGCAGACCACTGGTGGTCCACGGACCACAGTTTGAGAACCTCTGCTGTAGGGATTAGACATACCTATATTGCGGAATAGAGATCCTCTCTTCTCTGCATGTGTTGTATACCCATTCATGGATTTATTTCTCATTTTATGTTCTACATTCTAGCTGGGCTCCCTTCTTCAGTATGAATTAGTTTTCTTATGTATTATTAGCAAATCTTCTGCTTAATTACTGATTTTTCAACTGCAGAATTTAATGTGGATAGTAGAGTCCAAGGAACTGACCCTGACTGGAGGGATGAGAAAAATATATTTGCAAAAGTCTAAACATGATACCTCAAACTACTGCTTGCCCAAAAAATTTGATTAAAGTAAATGGACTTCTGGAAGGTAGAGTAGAGCAGCTAATATTTGCTCCGATAATGTAAGGATTATTGGAATGCTTGCAGGAAAAGAATACCAGGCCCTACTTCATTTCATGACATATTAATCACCAACACTCTTGAACTTTGTATGCAGGAGGATTTGCAATATGTGGAAAAAAAATTAGTGACTAATAATAATTTCAAATTATATGTCTCTTTTTTTCTGGTGATCTTGAAATCCCCTGGATCCGGGGGTGAGGTAAAAAGTTTGGGGACCACTGGAATAGGATCAGGATTTCACCATGTGGCAGGAAAGGAGTCATGCTGGACGTGATGTTAGTTGTGCAGGCATTTGTGATTTTACTAGCATTTTGTGACTGGCCTGGAAAGATGATATCAACTCCAATGCTACTACAGCTAATGTCTCAAGTGGTAGAGGGCTGCTTTTGTATCTAGAGTTTGTTTTAACACTGATGGTATGTGTGTACAGGCTAGTTGATAACTATAATGTCTGCTACCACTGCAATTACCCACAGTAGTTGTCCTAGACAGTCTATATTAAAATATTTCTACCTTTAATTTTAATTAATCAAAGCAAAGTGCAGTCCATAAGAACATCTTACTAATTTTTTTTGGAACTAAGGACTTTAGGCCCTAATTTGTAAAATAGGTGAACAAATATGTAAGTCAAGTGTGGTGCACGGTGTCACAGAGTGACTGGCTCCTTTAAGGGGACATAGTGGCCAGCCACACCTGGGCCATAATTAATTAGCTTCTTGTGAGCCTCAGTGGGTAGAATTAAGAGGGTCACAAGATAGTTTAATAGATAGCTGGACCTCATAAAAAGGCTGAGAGAGATCAGTCTGGGAGTGGAAACACAGGGAGTGGGTAGGCTTCTGTAGAAGGCTCTAAACTAGGCTTTGGAAGAGCAGTAATGAAATCACAGGAAGTGGGCAAATGCCTGTGGAAGCCTTTGAGGCAGCAACTGCTGGAGGCCGGGTACTCCAGGGGAACCAGCCTTGAGGCCCAGGGCTGTGTACTGGAACAGGGAAGGATGCAAAGAATGGAGCCCAGCAGATGCTGAGATCAGTACTCCAGGGGAATGCGCCTGAGGTCTGTATGCTTTATCAAAAATAGTCTAAAATGGATGTGGGAGCAGGGCTCAGAGATAGGCTGAAGAGAAGTCCCCAAAGGGCAGAAAAACCTTTTGTTTGTTGGGCTCGACAGTTTTGTTTGCATCTTGGTTGGAGGCTCAAGTTATGTCTGCAGCATGGATCTGTGTGTGGAAAGCCAAGGAAATCCACCTTGGGGAGGGAAATTGAGGCGGGGAATGCCTACAATGCCACACTCAAAAAGCAGATATGTCGAATGACATACAATGATAAATATGATCTGGGATCAGGCACCACTTTTGTAAGGTAAGAAAGAGGAATTATCTTTCCATCCTGGAATGGTAACTTTCTGTAATTGCTTTGTCTAATATTTTAGTGTGCAAACTAGTAGAAAGTGACAGAATCGGAATTTTAAAACTACACCAATAGCTCCATTCACACCACTCATCCCAATTTTAAGGTATATCTTACAAAATACTTCTTAAAAGCCAAAGTTTGATTATTTGCAAAGAAATGCAGCTGAAACTGGCCATGACATCTATTCTAACAGAGGATGTGGAATATGGAAGACGGTCTAAATGTGAGAACTATCACTTTTAAAAAATCACTGGCATTGTGCTCCTTTTCCTTTATTATGTGAGAACCCTTTCTCTTGCTAGAAGGGTTCAATGCTCATCCCTTCCAGGTGGCTAGTGTCTCTCAACTGGCAGGAAGTGTTGGGAAAACAAACTGATTTGCACTCTTCCCCCAGTGATGACTAAGGGCCTCATGTTGGAGGGGCATAGAGAAAATCCCAGCTGGCTTTGTGCCACACAAAGCTGAGGAGCGCTCCAGGAATAAGCTTCTGTGGGAGTAGAATCTGACTGGATTTTTTTTTTAAAGCTGAATTGAGCACTGTATAAGTACTGTTGGGTTCCATTAGCCTGGGAAATAGGTTTCCATAATCAAGAGTTTCTCAAACTTTGCATAGTGTGGGCTATGACTTTTACAGAAAGTGTGTCTTGTGGACATCTCTCACTCAGGATCACACAGACTTCATCTCCTTCTACTTGTAATTACATAACATCCTCTGAGGATTACAACAACAGGCTGACATGGAAAAGTAAAATGAGGAGGTCTTTTAATGTATTTTAGTGCCTTTTAATGGCGTTTGCTGTGTTGGTCCCAGGATATTAGTGAGATGAGGTGGGTGAGGTAATATCTTCTATATGAAGAAGAGCTCTGTATAGCTCGAAAGCTTGTCATTTCCACCAACAGAAGTTGGTCCAATAAAAGATATTAACTCACCCACCTTGTCTCTTTAATGGAGTTTAGCAGTTGAAAACAAGGAAATGGTATCTTCTCTATGTAACCAGCAGCAAGTGCATCACAGACTGCCAGTGGACTACAGACCACAGTTTAAGACTGCAGCTATAAGCTGTTGTAAACCCAGGACCTTTCTTAAGGCAACATAATGCCTTATGATGTGTCATTGGGCAGGCTCAAATTCTTATTCAGTTTTTAGCTCTTCATAACTTAACTGTGAACTTATAAAGCATTTTTTGATACTAGCTTGCATTATACCTCAGGGAATGTAAATGTAAATTTTTATACTTGTTTACTTAATTGCTTTTCACTAAAAATATTATAGAGAGTAATCATCAACTTTCTGCAATCAAATGCCAGCATGAGTGTATTAATCTTTAACTAGCACATCTGACAATTAATGAAGTGAACATATGAGCTGTATGCCAACTAAATTTATTGCTGAAATCAAGCAAAAGAATCTCTTTCAAGAAAAGCAGTGATATTGATTGGCAGTATAGTTGGGTAAAGGACTTCACATTCTGATTAGACAGTATGAGAGTTCATGGCACAGTAGTCAGTTTCTGAGACTACTATATCTACACACTAAAATATTCCCAATATTCTTTTGTGGAGTGATGCATGTTTCTTGAAATTTGAATGGTAGTTCTGTTGCCAAAACATGTGCACTCATCATCCTTTTAATCTCAGTACATGACTTCCGACATTTCCCGCTGATATTTTGGGGGCTAAGTGATAGTTAAGATAGAGGTTGTATTAACAGGCTCTCCTCCCCACTCCATCCTATTAAAGCTTGTCACCATAAAAGCATTCATGGCATGGAAAACTTGTATTTCTTTAATTACATACAGCATATGGCAATTGAAGTCTTTGAGATATAGTGCTAGTGAAGCATCTTGCACATCTCTTGGATGGAAAAGCTGATGAACACTTAGAAATATTATTGGAGAGAAGCAAAGTCTGTTCTCAGAAATCAACAGGCACAAACATATGTACTTTGGTCATGGCAAGTGCAGAGGTGGGAATAACCTTGAGAAAATTGTTGTAGAAGTAATGGTGGCAGGTCATCATAGTAGGAGATGACCAGCAAGGAGAAGGTATGTGGCAGATCATTGGGATGTCAACTGCTGAGTGTGTGAAGTTAGCAATGGATTAAGAAGGCTTCCAAAAATTTGTGCTATGATGTCACCAGAATTCAGACATGAATAAATATGGCACCTAATAAAAACTCTAGTCACACAAAAAAGCATGCAGTTGTCCTCACACATTGAGGTTCATTACAGTACAACTTTAAAATGAGAAAACACCCTTTAAGGTGGTTTTTACCTGAATTTATATAAATATAGAATCTTTATTAGCAAGTATGCGAAGGGGGACTATTTCTTCCCACTCCTATTTCTCTTTGATTTTTTTTTCTTTAAGATCAATTTAATCATCTTGGGGCCATATTCACAGATGGCAAAACCTGTCACAACTCCATTCGTGTCTTCCATAAAAAATGAAACTTTTAACCCACTTTTAACTTTTAGGTGCCTCTAGAACGCTGGTGCCCCTAGGCATGTGCCTACTGTGCCTAATTGGAAATCTGGCCCTGGTTGAAGTGAGTTTTGCTTCAAAAAGAAGAGTGTACTCACTGCATATTTATTGTCTGTACATGTACTTGGTACTTTAAAGTTCCAGACAGTTTTTCTCCCTTATTATTTACCCATTCTAACTTATTTTGCCATCTCTTCATGGCAGTGTTACCAAATACAAGCCAATTAAAAATCCCTATTTGTTGTGAATTTGAACATTCAAATTAATAAAAGTAACTACACAAATCTTTTTATCAGGATCATCAAGGCTAAACGCCGTGAAGATGGAAATATTTTGTAGTAAATGAGGAAAGGCAATAGAGAGATTGAGAATGTTATCAAGTGCAGAATGGATTATGGTCAAAGGTAAATATCAGTGTATGTCCATGTTTATTACATTTCTTTCTACAGTCACATTAGAAAAGAAATAAAAATGAAGTGTCTTGTACTACATTATAAAACACAATATTTGGAACAAATAGCAACCCAGGTGAAATTATAGTGCTTGTTACCTGTATAAGCAGGGGTTCTCAAACTGGGGGTTGGGACCCCTCAGAGGGTCGTGAGCTTATTACATGAGGGGTCGTGAGCTGTCAGCCTCCATCCCAAACCCCGCTTTGCTTCCAGCACTTATAATGGTGTTAAATATCTAAAAACATGTTTTTAATTTATAAGGGAACTCAGAGGCCTGCTATGTGAAAGGGGTCACCAGTACAAAAGTTTGAGAACTGCTGCTATATAAAGCAACAGAGGGTCCTGTGGCACCTTTGAGACTAACAGAAGTACTGGGAGCGTAAGCTTTCGTGGGTCAGAACCTCACTTCTTCAGATGCAAGACCT